TACACGACATATGGCACAAAGAAATCACAGTCCCCTCAGACCACGGTCCAAAATGGCAAGAATATAATAAAGAAGATATTTACAAGGGAAAGGGATATAAACTAACAATATATGTACAATGTACAAAGAAACACACTCGTGAGAATATATCCCGAAAAACGTGCTGTGACATCACTCATGTGGGAAATCAATGAAGACAGTTTAATCAGTCGAGGGTGAGGTAGTACAGGGGATAGGGCAATATGTTAATGAGGATCAACAGCCTTTTTATTCATATAGTGCATCTAATTGAATAGTAAAAATGAGTAGAAGAGAGGCTGTGTGTGAGGGATGGGGAGGATAGGAGGGGCACAGTAGAGTCTATGTGTGACAGGGGAGGCGGAGGGGGGAGGGAGGGCAGAGCAGGTAGGGAGTTTAGTCTCATCACAGCCTGATCTGTCTTTGAGCCTGCTGGTTCTGGCTCGGAGACTCCGCAGTCTCCTACCTGATGGCAGTAGGAGGCTGTGAGCTGGGTGGGAGGGGTCACCTCTAATCTTGATGGACTTGTGGGTGAGGCGGGGGTTGTACGTAGATGTCCTGAAGAGAGGGGAGAGAGGCACCAGTGATCCTCTCAGCTGCTCTCACAATGCGTTGTAGGGTCTTGAGGCAAGACATGGTGAAGCACCATACCACACAGTGATGCAGTTGGTCAGGATGCTCTGGATGGTGCCCCCTATAGAATGTCTGCATGATGGGGGCCGGTGCTCTTGCTCTTCTAAGTTTGTGGAGGAAGTACAGGCGCTGTGTTTTAGGGTGTTTTAAGGTGCAGGTGTCTTAAGCGATGGTATTCTGAAGCATGCTAACTTAAATTAAAGACCGTGGTTTTAAATTCATTCTTCATTTCTCAATGATTGTGTGTGGCACAATAATTATCAACAGTTCAAATGATCACTAACGCTACACCCACTAACACATTAGTGTTAATGCTAACATTAATGCTAACAGGTTCTTTTCTCCAGTTCAGTGGTTCAGAAGATTCATTATGTCATCTCAGCAATCATTAAGCAGTTTGATGTTGTTTTGTCTGCAGACAACTGACACATACAGTAGCAACACACACACACTGACAGACAACTGACACATATAGTAGCAACACAGACTCACTGACAGCACTGGTTTAGTCACACTGACATCACATCAGTGTCTACCTGAAGACAGGGGAGGGGAACAGGGCAAGGGGGCAGATCCAGCTGCTCTGCCTGTCTGTCTGCCCTTTTTTTTCACACCAGACCCGGGACAGTTCACTCTCACAAGCCCCCTCCACACCTCTCTCACCTCTAGGGGCACTAAAGGGAGGCTGGATTATGAGGGCTGTGCCCTGCAGCTCTGAGCTCCTCCTAATCAGTCTGCCCTGGCAGGATGTTGGCTAATGTTTAGTCTTGAACGCTGCCTCACAGAGCATGTCAATGAGACTGCAGTGGAAGGAGGCTGATATCAGGTTGGAGCTGGAGTGAACATTCAATCTAAGACAGGAAGGAAAAAAGGCGCAGCTCATTGGAAGTAAGTCCAAGTGAAAGGCTTGATATGTGACCGACTGAGTGTGAAACAATGAGTAAAACTTCTGTGTAGAAAAATATATTGACTAGAGTTGATAATGTATAAGCAGACTTCACTTCATGCAACTTTTGCACCGTTGAGCTATAAAATAGACTTAGTTCTCTCAGGTTGAAAAACAATTAAAGTTTGAATCTGATTAATTCAAAGGCAGCTGCAGAGTAATAACGATTAATCATTAAGACAAAAGAGAAATCAACATGACTAAATATATAAAACTTTATTTCTGTATGTACACTGCTGACCCAGACACTACCAACATCAGCAGGTAGAGGTCAGTGTTTCTCACCTGTTCTGTGACTAATCCAAAATGATGGGATTATTAATCTGGACAAATGTCCAACAGGCTGAGTGAAAATGTCTCTTGTGTGTGTGCACCGACACTGCTGCTATATTTTATCAGGACCAGAATAAAAAAATAGGAGGCACGGGCTAAGGTAACCCAGCAGGTGGCACTCTCTGGTACATTGTGAGCCTGTCTGATTTTACTACTGTGAGGTGCAGCTGTCATCCAGACGGAGCGCCTGGAGGAGACGGTCAAATTCTCCAAGCTCAGTCCTTGTCATTAACTCAGACATGGCTTCGGCGAGTGGTTTTCCGGTGCTTCTGGTACAGTGCTACTGGGAGGTACCGCCACTTCCCCTGAAAAACATCTAGGGGTGAGACAAACGAATGAGTGGCGCAATACAGACAGCTCTAGTCTTCACCCACACTGCAGCAGCTTTTTCTTTTCCTTTATCTCAACC